TGCATATGTATGTGTAAACAATGGAAAAAACTAGGGCCCGCCGGCAAACACAATAAACACATAGGCATTTTCACCCAGCCAAGGCAGCTCCAGCCAACTCCTGCACTAGAAATGCTGGCAAGCAGTGTAACCCCACATTTCCCCCGTATTGCAATTGTCCAGCAACTTTGTAGCATAACTCTCCCACTCCCTGGGTGGATCCCAAACTGCGTGCTGCGCCGGAAGGAATCCTTGACTTCCAAGAGATCGCTGGGCACGCAAAAAGAGTCGCGGGGAGCATGTGGCCCTGCCCGAACTCCCTGACCCAAGGAGCCGGGATGGGGGGCCGCACCTCCACCTGACAGGATTCGCAAAGAGGGACTGCGTCCAAAGCCCTGGTGTAAAAACGTGTGTCAAGGCATGTGTTTTGCAAACTTGTCTGGAATCTGTAAATTAAGCATGAACACGCGAATGCATACATGCATGGACTTAAATATTGGTACACAAATGGTATTGCAAGACATGGCAAGTGCAGAAAGAACGCTCTCCTGTTTTGGGTTGCCACTTCCTTTGGACTCAGTGTCGCCACCGGAAGAGGCATGACAGCAACGAGGAAATGGGGAGGAAGCACAAACAAGTGCAAAAGTATGAGCCAGCACTAAACCCAGTTCTAAACAGTACTAGGCCGCAGTACTGATTCAATATGGCACCAGGAGAGAACCACAAAAGCACATGCTTTGATTTCTGCTGTTTACAGCGCTCGGCCTGGAACGGGGGATCTGTTTACAGTAGGCAGTGGCCGAAGAGGACCCAAAACGACCTGGGCAGGATCGATTCTGAACACCACCGCGACACAAGAAACCAGGGACCTGGTCCTGTTTTATCACTACCCCCGCCCATGGCAGGAACAGCATGACAGGCTCTGAAAGACACTGGCCGCCATGCATCACCTGGCCCAATATTCCAGGGGGTAGAGTCTCTCTCTCTCTCTCTCTCGCTCTCTCTCCCTTTCTCCGCCAATAACAGCCCATCACGCCCCATTTGCATTCCAGGGCGCCGCAACTCCCAAAACCAACTTCGCATTTATGGGCGGGTTATGTTGAGGTTCCTCAAGGAACCACTAAGTTGTTTGGGGGTGTTTAATTCAAGCCCTTGGCACCCCCAAGCCAGCCTGATGGGGCAGGAGGCACTCAACTTGCGCGTCCTGTGGCCATCGGAGGGCGGCTTGGGACTGGGACTCATTTGCCCATTCATCACCAGGGTCCATTGCGGGTTTCTATTGAAACACCTCACCAAGGTGAAGCTCAACGGGTAAATTAAGGGACCTCTCATCAAAGTCAAGTCACAACCATGACCTCCGGCAAGAGCTGGCATACGTCATAGCGCCCGCAAAGCTTGATTGTATGATTCGGGGGTCCGTGCGGGCGAAGCAAAACGAGCAAAGCCCCCATCTCGCGAGAGCGCCCTTATACTGTCCTCAGATGAGCAACGCTCCTCTCCTCAGTCAAGGCAGCGAGATGGAAAGCTGGCAAAGCATTCCACTCCTCCACACCAATCACCCGGGCACCCAGGCACCCAGGCCATGAAGGAAAAGCGTACCCAAAAGTGTGGTAGTGCTTTGTTTCTCCATAGGTCTGGGACTTAATTTTCTAAGTAATGCGCCAACATAAACCAACATTGCAGCATAAATCAAGGGTTCCGGAATCGCTTCCACTGTAGCCCGCGGATTGACGGAAAATGGCAAGTGCGTTAGGAACAAGAGGGCAAGTTGCTGAGAGCGCGGGGTCGGCCGAGGTAGCCTAGGGTCGAGTTGGAGTGAATATTGAGGGACTCCTTGAACCCGGGTACTGATTCATTTCCCCAAGGAGATGTAGGAGCATCCCATCTTTTGACCTCTCACCCGTTTCGTGCCTCAAGTGCTCCCACAGCCAGACTCGCAGACATGAAGATCATAAGTCATCTGGGCTGATTCGACCCCAGCCCGGTCACCCGCCCACTTCACAAACTCACTTGCCGCGGCTCGGATGCTGGTCACCTCGTAAGGCGCGTCCCTTGGATCTTCCCTCCGTGAGACCTCGAACAAGGGGCAGGACTCTCTCAGAAAATGTCCACTTCACGGAGGCTTCAAAGGCTTCAAAGGTGACTTGGACGGCATCGCAAACCGAATGCTGACATGCCCTTGCAGGATACCGCGCCTCATTGAATTGGTCCTCGTCTCCATGATCCTGCGAGAGTGCCATACACCCATGCAGCTCCGTGAAACCATGGAGAGGTGCTGGAAAAAGCAAACTTCCGTTTTTGTTTGGGCACTGCCCTCCTGCGTTTTTCAACCAAAAAGCACCGGAGCCACCCAGACCCCCTCCCTCACCCATTCGGCGCGTCCTCGCGTCGCTGGGCGCGGCGGCGCGTGCGCCGCGCATTGCGGGCTTGGGCTGTGCTGAGCTCGTGGTGGCTGACCTGCCGGGTTGAAGACCTCATTAAGCCACCAGCCCCCCCCCCCCCGCCCCAAAGCAAAAAAAACAAGAAACGCGCTGAGCTTGGTAGACTGGTCAAGCCACGCGGGGCCCAAAGGAACGGAAGTACCATCTTCAAGTTCACCGCTCAGAGCTATCCCTCCCCCCCGACATCGAAGGGAAACCAAAAGGTTGTTATACACTTGTGCTTTAAGACTTGGTTTTATTAAGAGAGTTCAGAAAGCTTTTAAAAGTTGACAGAGATGTACTCTCGCAAGCAGCTTCCCACGGCCATGCCGTTCTTAGGGTTGGATCTCAATATCCTTCAGGAAAGCAACGCGCCGTTGTCGCAGTGAAGAAGCTTGATGGCCAGGCGCAGGAACGGCGGCCACAGCTCCAAGTGCACAGACCTCCCCCCAAAAAAAAAGCCTGACCCCGGGCTCCTTTCAGCAAAACAGGATGGGCCGCGAGATCCGGCAGCCCCGGCCCGCCTCCTGTGGGAAGCGCCCCTCCTCGTGGAAAGGCGCTACAGCGGGCGCGTGGTGCTTCGGTAGCTTCGCCGCGGGCCTCTGGAGGCATTCAAGTTCCAAAGCATTCCTTGCCAGCGACCAGAAACGCATCAGGATTTCAAAGGGCGGCCTTGCCTCGGGGGATCCGGGCTCCAACGCCCAATGCCACCCCAAGCCATCCTGCCTCGCAAGATCCTGGCAGCTGAGCCCGAATCTGTCCACCTGTGACACCTGCGCAGCATGTGTGGCAAGGCGCGGCCTTGGCTCATTTGAGCTGCGGCTTGGCCACCGCAAAGTCCAACCACCTGGTTTCCCAGTAATAAAAAAAAAAGAAGAAAAACAAGTGGGAAGTGAGCACGAGCCATGGGGATTGGCAGCGAAACGAGCGGAGGGAAAATGGGTTGCTCCATGCTCGCTGTGTTTTATCAACCTACGTGGGCTAGCGTTTTGCTTTTTGTTAGGAGGGCTCATTCCGTTTTGATTCCAACAGACACTGCGCGTTGACCCCACATCCAACACCCCTGAACCTGGACTCTCTGCCCGAAAACACGGAGAAAAGGGAGCTCCCAAATCAGTGCTGGTTTGCCGGATTTTTCTTCAACCGACCCCATGACTAAAGACACATTAGGTGCTGGTGCTGCAGCGAAAATCCTCCAAACCCCCGCCCCCACCAAAAAAAGATCACGATTGCTTTACTTCCTGAGCGTCCTGGGTCCCAGCCCGAGGCCCCGTCTACCGGCTATGCGGCTATACGGGATCGAGCCTTCAGGGCATGCGGCTCGGAGCCCGTACTCGCCGAGGTGCTCGCCGACGCGGACCGGATCATCGCCTCCGAGCGCAGAAGCTACGCGCTGCGCGCCGCGCGCGTCAGCCGGATGCCCTCTTCGCGTGTCCAAACTGGGAAGGCTAAGTCATGCAAGCATCAATGTGCGACAATGTGTGGGGCCGAAAACTGGTTATACATCTCCCCCTTTCTGTCTAATTGGACGTGTCCAACGCTCAGGAAAACAGTGGAAGCCCCTCTTTCCACCAATTGCGGAAGTGGACACGGAGGAAAGCACCTGGTAGACGCGTTTCCTTTTTCCTGGGGCCTTTGTCATGGTTGGAACTCTGCTGTTGGTCCGGTCACAGCAGCATGGCTCCTTTGCTTGATATTCAAAGCGCAGCCTAAGGGCCACAATTGGTAAACGTGGAAAGCGGCCCAATTTTAGGACACGCCCACTTGAAACCCCTGCTCTAGCAGGGATCCAAGGTGCCCCGCTGTTGAGGCAGGGGCACACGCTGCTTCAAACAGAATGCCCTCAAAAACAGCTGATGGCGGTGGAATGGATGTGTTGGCACAACCAATCGAAACCCTGAAGGCAGTGAGTTGTGCGCCTTGCAGAGGGTTGCAAGGCGCAAGTGACAAGCGTGCCGGGCAACTTCCGTGCTTGAACGCAAGGATCCTTCTTTCCAGAAAAACCGCCAAACAAACACCAGAGAAAGCGTTGGTGTTCCACAAGAGCTGTGGTTGAAAAGACTAACCCCCTGGATTCTTAGACTGGAGAAAATTGATCGTGGGTTGCTCCTGAAGCCCAACAAATCAACAGCTCCAATCAGGAAAGGGCCACGTGTGCTGGCGACAAACCTGCGACTGCCAGCCTCGCCTTGACCATCAACTGACGAATGAGCGCTCAGAGAGGACTGGCGATTCTTTCACAAATGGCTGCGGTGCAGCAGCGATGCAGTTTGTTTTTGCAGGCGCTGGGGTAATGTGCGGCTTGCTGGAAACCCAGTTCCCTTCTTGCTAATCCCAAAGGCAAACAAGCATTCGGTTACGTGAGCGTCACAGCTGAAGTTCTGAAAGATCCCGTTCCTTTTGGAAATCCTTGCAAGCAAAGCAGCTTGAGAAAGTGAACTTCCTTAGCGGCCAGCATTTGCTTTGAGTGCTTGTTTCATGGTCGAAAAACGCGCCCTCAACACTTTCAAAGGAAGGAAGTCATCAATACAGTCTTCGCCTGAACCCAGTGCCGCCCAGTTGCACCCTTGCCACTCAAGCCCAGGAGACTAAGGCTGCTGCAACTCCTCCAGGCCGCCGGCCAGGGTAAAAACCTCAGGCCGTCCGGCCGACTGGCTGCGTGTGCAATTCGGCTTCCTCCCGCTTTGTGCAAAGGCAGCTGCTTGCCAGCGCTGGACCCAAAAGTGGCAGACCAGGGAAGGCAACGATCTCTTGTAGCTACGGCTCGCCCTTACAGCTCGTTCAATCCGTCACATGCGCTGCGAAGGTTGCAAGCTCTTCCTCCACGAAGTAGGTCCATTGGAAGTCAGGTGGGCAAAGCCGGTGCAACCGCCCACCCCACCCTCAACAAAAAGAGCCTCTGCTCAACGACCTCACGACCGAGGGCCCTCAGCCCAGCACAAGTTCTTCGGCACCGGTGATCGACCCAGCGCAGGTGCCACATTTGGCCTGCGAGAATGTGAACAAACCACATCATAGGCACACCACATACTACGTTTGCGCGCGTGCCTGCGCATGTGCCCCCCCCTCGCACTTGGAAACGGAAAATGCACAGCACGCCTCTTTGCAGGATGGTCAGGGCTGATTGATTTGCACATCAGGGCTGGGTGTCTTCGGGGTCCAGGATTTGAATGGCGAAACCCAGAGTTGTAGTGTCAAATGGATGGAGTTTGGAAGCCTCGTTAGCACATCAGTAGATGCGGGAGTGCCTCTGCAATTGCTCTTGCCAGTGTCTGCTGCTGTGCCCCGCTAGTTGACAAGCATGGCCTGGTTGGCAGGAGTGTGCCTCTTCCCATTGGTTCATTCCACGCTGGTGATGTCATGTTGCAATTTGATCACTTCATCTGACAGTGCAGCAACGATGCAGCAACTCTTGCGTGCCTTGCCACAGTTGGGCTAACCCCTTGTATGAACCTCCTCACTAGGGGCCAGGGTTCCATAGCAAGCTGCGCCGACCCGTGTGGCGCCTGAAGCTTCTCCACCACCAGGGTGAACTCGTCCCGACCTAAAAGTAATGGATCGCGGCGCACGTACCCACACGAACACTGCCTTATGCTTGAAAATGTGCAGGTGAGCTGGCTCAACTGTTTCCATCTTGCAACCAGCTTGCGCTGCAAGAAAAAGGCAGCTCGCATCGTGTCAAATGCCAGTTGCGTTGCCCCATCTACGCATTGCAAAGATACTCCATGGTTTTGAGCCACCACGAGCACCAGCACCAGCAGCACAACCAGCAGCACCACCACCGCCAAACAAAACAACAAAAGTTAAAGAGCATGCTCAACTGCACGTCTTTCTTCATGCAACTTGGCCTCCATTGCTGCACTTGTCGCCACAGCCCATGCGTCACTCCAGCAAGCATGGGCCCAACAGATTTGCCCGGCCAAGTAAACAATGAGTGTGTGTGTGTGTGTGCGTGCGTGTGTGTACGCATGGGTGGGCGTAGTATCAATTTGGCGAGCCGAAGCGGGCGCGCGCCTGGGCGGGCATTTTTGTCACCAACCAACCAACCTCACACAAACATACAAACAAACATACAAACAAACAAACACGCAAACACTCAAACACGCAAACTGACGACTAGACAGGCAGCCAGGCAGACAGACAGACAGGCAAACAAGCAAACACCACAGCCAATCCGCTTGGTCTTCAGCACATTATGAACCACCAGGCCAGGGAGCGTATGCGTCCCATGATCGTGGTCTGTTTGGCCTGCTAATGAATCACCAGGCCAAGTGCAGGAGGTCCATGATCGGGTGCCCCCGTGACTACTGCGAGAAAGCCGGGGCGAAGGGAATCTCAGCTTGTTTGCCAACTGGGCTTGAACAAACATAGCACCTCACCCCAAATGGGCGTGCGCACACCTGGAGCCTCCCTGTCTGTTTTTGGCTCTCTACTGCCTACTTGCTGCCGTGCATGTTTCTCAAAGCATATGAGCGCACATGCTTCTAAAATGTTCGTGCAAATCTTGGCTGTTTGCAAAATCGAACACGCCCACTGCGGCAGGCAGCACAAAACATCCGCAATGCGGGCAGGAGCTGCTGCCTCCAAGCGCCAAGCAGACACATTCCAGCCAGCACGCGCCGGAGCGCAGGCTGAAGCTGGCGCACGCGCGCAGAATGTGGAAAGAGCACGTGGCCCAACGGAGCATCGCACCAACTTTGACCCAGTGCAACAGGTGCGGGGCCGGCGCGCAGAACGATTTTTTCCATGTTGAGACGCACAAGGCTCGGGGTCACGGTTTGCACTTCGCATGCGTGGCGAGCGTTCGTGCGTGCCAGGCGTGGAAAGCAGCGAGAGACGGGCAGCATGCGCGCAGAAGTCCAGCCAAGACCGCGCACGGGTCGCACGAAGCTGCTGTTCGGGGCGCGGTCCAAGTGCTGCAAAAGTCAGCACAGGCAGGCAGAGTACCCACTCAACTGCCACCATCCGCGGGCCGTTGGCGTTGCATTCGTTCGCCTTCGTGCGGCGGCGCCGCGCTCTGCTGACTGCGCAAAGTTTTTTGCGTTCAAACGTTCTGCCTTGCTGCTGACACCGTGCTGGCTAGCATTGGCTTCGGCGGCCGCCCGCCGTGCTAGGCGGTTGGCTCTATGCGGCTGGCCGACGCAGCCTTCTCCCCTGCCTCAGGTCGCTTACTGGCAGCCTGCTTTTCACCGCCAGCTGTTGTTGGCAATGGCGCTGCTGGAACGCATGCGCTTTGTGAAATTCCGGGCGGCGCTTCCCAGCACGGAGGTCACCCAGCCGCAAGCTGCAGCACTGCCTCGCGTCGACTGACAGCGCGACCAAGAGGGCAAAACAGCTTGTTGATTGCGCCAGCATTGGGAACGTGCTGGGAGGGCCTGCCGGCCTTATCAACTCCGCGCTGTTTTGCGCACCCGGCCGGCGCAGTCTATCATCACAGCTTCGAACATGAGGGAAGAGGCGTTGCCCCTTGTTTGTTAGGTTAGCGCTGTGAACGTGATGGGGGCGGCTGCTCCCCCCCCCCAACCCCCGCGCAATCAACAAGGGGCAACAACAGTTCCCTCATGTTTGCGGCTGTGATGATGGCACGTGCCGACCCTCTGCGCAATGTGGCTTCCCTTATGTTCATGTTGTTCGCTAATATGCCACCAACCCCACTCATCCGCACACTTGCCCAAGCAGTCACCTCCTGACTAACTGACTGACTGACTGACTGACTGACTGACTGACTGACTGACTGACTGACTGACTGACTGACTGACTGACTGACTGACTGACTGACTGACTGAAAACGAGCCAGCCAACCAGTCAACCAGCCAGCAAGCCAGCCAGCCAGCCAGCCAGACGACCAACCAACCAACCCACCACCAGATCTAATAATACAAACAGACCTAGGCAAAAAAAAAAAAAAAAACTACCTCCCACAACCAACACAACCAAAAAGAGCATCGTCAAGCCCCACGGCACTGCAACGCCAGCACTGCCCCGATGAGGTTTCAGTTCTCAGGTACAAAAGCTTGCGGAATGCACCACATCTTGAGCGTGCGTTGCAACAAACATGCGCCACAAGTTCTCTCAAAGCCTCTTCAAAAGTCCATCCAAGCCCGCTCCGGGTACCAGGCTGGGTGAAAGGTAGGTGACGAAGGTCCCGCCTGATCTGCAAACCAGCACGCGTCCAGCCAAACAAGCTGGGTGTTTCATGCCGATGGCAATGATGAAAGTTTAAATACGCCTCGCGGCAATCCTAGCTAGCATCATGGCATAGAAATGGCTAAGCCACAAGTCCCGCTTGCCTCGCAAGCGCCAAACTGAGCACCCCACCTTTCTTCAAATGCCCAGTGGCACCAGACTGCAGCGGAAGCACGTACCATCCCGCCTGCGCAAAGCGTGGACCTTGCATAGCGGCCCTAGCCTGCGAAGCCTCCCTTCATGGTGACCTGGGGTACATGAAGCCGCCTTCAAATCATAACCTGCCCTGAGACGAGTATTAGACCCGCTGAACTAAATGAGCCCGGGACCTCCCTCCAAAAGCAAGGATACGTGATAAACATCAACCCCAGAAAAGCACTGTCCGCCTGGAAGAAATCTTAAAGAACAAACTTGAATCAAGGGAGAGTCGAGACTGCAATGCTCCAAAAGAGAAAACAACATACTCAAATTTCCTTGCATGGCTACATTTAAAAGCCTAGCCCGAATCAATCTCACGGGGCATATGTTCAACCCCACAACTCTAGCTCAAAGCGAAGCTGAAAGCCCGAAAATCACATCCTGATTCGGGAAATCAAATGGACAATCAAATCCATCAAGCTGAATGAATGGAAAGTTGAGTCCGGCACTACTAGATGTGCTAATTCAATTGAAAAAAATCCAGCCATACTACACAAATCCAGCAATACTAAATCACATGGAAACTCGCTACCCTCAGTTCCCATCCCAAAAGAAAGCTTCACCCATACTACATCAATAGAAATTCATATCCCTCAGATCCAATCCCACATAACCCTCACAAGGAGGCTTTAACTACATTAAATCAAATTCTAAGCCAATTAATTTGGGGGCTGATCATGGTGATCATCACCTTCATGGGACCTCATTGTTGAACAGTCACCACTACTTGCACAGGGAAGCCTCTCGCGCTTGGGAAACCTGATGCGAAACCCGACTCACCGGTCTCTCCTTTGCCTATTCCTGTGAGATTCACTGCGCAACCCGCCTCGGTAAAGCGGGTGGTGTGAGCCAGCGTCCAGAGCGGATCTTGGATGGAGTACCTAAGCTGGCACTTTGCTAACAGGAGGGGCGGGATGGCTCGAGTGCCAATTGGCCACCCTGACTCTCTCACTGTCTGACTACTGGCCCTTCACAACTTCCCAAATAACAAACCCCAAGACCCACAGCACCATCCACCACTCGAGCCATGCGACTTACAGCTCAGGTGCTGTCAACAACCCCGTATGCGTATGTGTCAAATTAGAACCAAAAAGGACTGGTGGGTGTCCATATGGTTTCTCTTCCAACCCAATGTACAGGGAACACTCAAAACCTCACTGCTTCCTGAGTGGGTTGCGGTGCAAAAAAAGAAAAGTCCGAACTTGCCATCTACCACCAAGAACCATGTCTTTCCACAAAGAAATGCTAAAGTCCATGAACCCAGGGAGCGACAAACCAAGCAGAGACAGAGACGCTCGGCTTCAGAGACTTCGGCCGGGCCGCGCCCCGGACCAAGGCTCGGTGGCCAGCAGCAGCCCGTCCCGCGCCCCAGGCAGCGCCGGGTGCAGCGCCCAGGCCTCGACGCAACTCTCACAGCCTCTCTCGGGTTCTTTGGGTATGTGACACATGTCTTGTTCTTTTTGGGTGGCATATTTTCTTGGCACGTGAAACAAAATTGTCCTTCGAAGAAACTCAGGTGGCCCAAACTTTGCTCCTCCTGAGGCTTCTCAACGTTATCAGGTTAGGGGGCTCGAAACCGCGCTTTGTGCAAGAAATGTGCACTTTTCGTGCAGCTTGCCAGTTGATTCGCCATGCACTTGCTCAGATGGTCGCAGCGCGCGTGTGCACCATCCAGTGTGCGTGCCATCGCGTTTGTTTTTGCGTGAGGCCCGGGCCAGAGAGCGCACGATCGTGCTCGTCACCTGAAGGCACCCCGCATTGAGCGATCCGTGCCAAAAGCGATGCGGATCCCCTCAAAATGGGCAACCAACGAGAGGAATCAGCGGAATGGCATGTACCCTCTGAAGCCCATTGGCAGGTAGCCTGGTAGAATGAACCAAGTCCCTACCGTCATGTTTAAATCTCCTTCATCCCCCGCGTTGAACAAGGCCCCAAAAGCATGAATTTTAGCATGGACGAAAAGCATGGAGAGCAAATCTGCGAAGTCCTTGGCATTTGTTCAAGAACTCTCATTGCCAGCGTTGCAAGCAAATGCGACAACCAGAGTGCCATCCGAGACACATTCATCCGCACGAGGTTCCTGAGCGCAAGAAAACTGTAAGGCCGCATCACTGCAGACAAATGCGATATGGGAACCATCTGCACTGTCTGTTCGAGGGTAACTTGTTCAATGTTCTGAACCGCCCGTTCAGTGAAGGAACATCTGACAAATGAACTCTTGTCCCACGTCCGAGTCTGTCGAGGTCCAAGCATGGTCGGTGTTGTAGGCACCAAGGACCCACCAGCCGGGCTTGGTTTACAAGTGACTCCTGGCTCCCCACCCCCCCACCCAAAAGGAAAAACAAACGGTTTTTTGATCCGGGGCCAGCGTCACAGTGAGGCATCCCCGGTGCAAACGATTCCTTGGGTTGCCAGGTCCCGATAGGCTGCCCCAGTTTGGAACAAATAGCCAGAAAGGCAGGAAAAGAGAAATGATGCTCCTTTGGGTTGACCAAGCAAAAGGGACAAGGCCTGCAAACCAGTCGAGCGCAGCGCGAAAGCGAGGCAGCTGTTCGTTCTTCCTGTCGCAGGATGTTTGGGACAAGGCCCAACCATCAAAGCAAACTACCATTGTTGTCAAGGACTTCAGCCCTGAACCGTTGGCCCCCTCCTGCCAACGAGGGAGAAAAAAACACAGTCCAGGCGCGTGTTCACCAGGCGCCCCGCACAGGCGGCTCCAGGCCAGTCCGCCTGAGCTAGTGGCTTCCAGCCCTTGGGGGTTCTCAGGGTTCGCTGCCCTGCAGCTGCATAAACTCTTGCAAACCTGTCCAAAACCATGCCGACAGGGCACAGTTTCGAGTTTGAAAAATGGCGAAAGCGAATGGAAGCAGCAAAGGGGTCCTGAAAGAAGGCTCCTCTCATGGGTATTGACGCGGCAGTCGATGTGTTCCCCTGTTGCAAGTGAGACCCTGTCAAGAGCAGCCATCCCTATCCCCATGCAATGCGAGCAGACCTGCCAATTGCCCCTGGCTGCCCGGCTGCTTCTCAGGTTGGCGAAAGGTCCTATAGGTGCAAAGCTTACAAGAGTCACTAAGTTGCAACCTACGCAACGTGACGCACAACTTGCGCAAAGGAGTTGCAGCTTGCCACCTTGGGGGGTCCCAAGCAAGCCGCATCTCCCCTCACGGGTTCTCTCCAAGGCGCCGTGACGCCCGCATCCTCCGTGCTCCACAGCGCCAGGGGTGAGCTTCGCAGCTCAGGGAGGGACAGGAAGCATGGGTAGTGCAGGCCTAGGCGGGGAGCCCTTTGCCCCAAACCAGCTCCAAACACAGAGCTAACCCTTGCGCCAAGAGATTGGAGGAAATCATTCTACTTAAACAATTGCAAAAAAATGCTACCTTCAAGCATGACATCAACTCACTCCCAGCCAGCCATGCCGCCAGCCATGCTAGCCATAGCCTTGCCGCTCTGCCTGCCAATATGTTTCCCCTGCGCAAGCTGGTCACCTAAAAGCCAGTGCTGGGTCAGGGATTTCCTTTGATCTCCAAAACACGGTGTGAGCAAAAACACAACGCACAGGTGCCGCCGCTGCGAGTTGCAGGTGGATCGGCCCATGCGTTCAGCCAAGCTCTGCACCCCAAAGCCAGCTGAAACCGTCACCTGCCAAACACTCTTGCCGGGGCACCCACGGCGCCTCCGGCCATAGCTGCCCCAGGCTCGGGGAGTTTGACGGAAGGGTCCTCAGACCAAGTGCTCTATATACCTGCAGCCCCCATGAACCCTGTATGGACAACCCTGTCAAGTACGGTGTGGGTGTTTCCTGGGGAATGGTGTTGCAAACGAAACAGTGAATCAGCTCGATTTTCCAACTCCCATCTCGGTGCGACCCTCAGGGGTGTCCCCCCAGCATGATCCAAGCTGGGCAGCGTATTCGGCATCAGGTAGGACCAAAGACGTGGAGAACCCAGCCGCATCCTCAGGCCAACGGCTGATTGAACTGAAGCGCCTGCCCCGCCTGCTCGGCAAATGGCACACCCCAATCCGAGCACACGATTCGGTGGCGGCAAAGCTTTGAGCTGAGAGCTTCACCAACCAGACTCATGCATCCGCAAAACAGACAAAACAAAGCAAAACACTCACATACACACACCGGCAGACCACTTTGAGGTTGCGCCCAAGATGCCAGCGCTGTGCGCAAATCCTCCGACCAGGACAGGGGCGGGCCAGGATGGCCCTGACCTGGGTGCCAAGCAGAATTGGTAAGATTGAAAAAAAAACAGCCGCAGCCCCCCATTCTCAAAGGGCCTTCAAACAATAGTGGCTTAAACCATGGTTTTAACAACCCTCAACCCTTCCCACCCACTGGCACAGTAACCTGGGGCTGGCGCACCCAGCAACATCGTACGTGTGAATTTGAACTTGTGCTACTGCGAGTGTCTGAACGTCCACACATGCAAAAAATATGTTTGGTTCTACGCGTGCGTTTGCAGGCTCGTTTGCACCGGATGGTTTTTTGAAGGGGTTTCCAGCGCTCCGCCAGCACTTGAGTGAGAGGCGTCATCTTTCCCCGGACTCTGTCCAACCTCAGGAACACGCTACGAATCAAGGCCCCCACTTTGGCCCAATTGGTCCACCACTATGGCCCTCGGGCGGCTCCCGACGTACTCTACAGCCCCAGCGCCAGTCTCGTTGGCGCAGCGAATCCAGCCTCGGCGACAAGACATGACACCGGTACGACTCATGGTTCCCCTGTGTTTCAATATGTTTCAATTGAAGGTCATGCTGCGATATTCACACGGGAAGAACCAGCAAATTCGGGCAGTGATCAAGATGGCAATCGTCATAAGCAGCAGCCGACTCCTTAAACGCTTGCCAAGTGCTGACAATATAGTCGATGGTGTCGCTGTTGTAGAACCCGATCCTGGGCAAACCGAAAGACTCAACCGGCATTTTTCCCTTGGCTGGCTGGCTGGCTGATTCCGCCAGGGACCCGGAGTGCAGGACCCCTAAGGGCTTCAGACTCTCAAAGGAAAAGCATAAGGACCCCTGTTTCAAACCCCAGGCAGCTCGCACCAGTAATCTTCCCAGTCGCAGCTGTAAGCATTGAGCCGCGTTGGGATTTGAGCTGGGGAGCGCCGCCCGTTCCGCGCCAAAACTCCGGCGCCCGCTCCCCCCGAGTGGGAAACCACCGAGGCGCTGTGAGGCGTTCTCCAGCCCCAGCCATGCTGGGAGCGCCCAGGCCGCCGCCAGCACCGACAGCGAGGGGTTGCGCCGTCGCGCCTGCGGCGAACGGGCAGAAGGATTGCCGCGTCGTGAAGGGATAGAAAAAGAGAGGGTTTAGTGGAGCTGACCATCTTTGATGGTTGGACCTACCCTCACTCAAGTCGAAGCACGAGAATGGACCCCTTCCCCGTTCCCACAAGTCAGAGTCCTCCGAAACCCGGCGATTCCCGACCGATTCACCGCCTCCCGCACGAGCCAGAAGGCACGGGACCGGTTGCAGGCCACCTGATCTTCGCTCCGGCGATGGCTCGGCTCTGTGCCAAACCTGAGCGAGGCTTTGGAGAGGAGGCAGTGTCCAAGCCAACCTGTGGATTTGATCACAATTTTCGAAGCCCTTTGCATGTTCGACACCAAAACACTGGGTTGACCAACTGCGCTTTTGACTGGCGCGGGTCCATTGAGATGAATGCTTCGAAGACTGGGAAAAAGAGATCCCGGTGCGGCTGTGTTCTTCACCAGGCTAGTCAAGCTTGAATTTGAGCTTTTCTCGGCCTCTTGTTTTGCATTCTTGAAAGGTTGAAGAATTGTTTTCTGCCCACACATGCATCACATGAACAGTGGATGTTTCCTCAAAACGTAAAGGATCCGAACTCCCAAACCCATTCGACGCATGCGACCTGCCGAGGCGCCCGGACTGCGCATCCCCGCCGATTTCTACTTTGAGCACCTGAGCCAGAGCGAAGAGCTGCTCTCTTTTGAGGGGGCTTGTTCGAATATGGTCGGCTCCCCTGATAGACTTGCATTTTCAGCCAAAGGCGATGGGGCGTGCCCAGGGCCACCCAAAAACATGCATGCTTGGTTCTAGCCTCAGCGCTTGCCAGGTGCCATGCCTGTTTCCCCAAGCGCCAGGCCTGGATGGAGGCCGCGTAGCCTGGAAGAAACCTCAGCCCACACACACCTAAACTCACAGCGCAAGCGTGAGGCTCACACGGTGCCAACGGCGCTTCACAATATGTTCGGAGGGTTTCTGCGGCTGGGACGACCAAAGGGGGGCCAACCTCAACCAGCAGGCAAAGGCGGCAAGTCGCTGTAAGCCACGGACTGGACACAAGTGCGTTTGAAGAAATGTCAAAGTGGGCCGCGGCACTGCCCAATTGCATGCTCGGGTGGTGCGCGCAAAACAAGACATCAGACCCCCGCCCCAGCCTCCAAGTTGTTACACAATATCAGGCAAAGCAGCCCTCGTAGCGAAGTCAAGGCGCACAGACTAAGTCACGGGTAGGTGCTCCATCACTTCTCTTTGCATCCTTCTACCCTCCGCCAGACAATGCCCGTTGGCATGGTTCGGCTTCAAAAATCTGACAATCAACTCCTCCTTTCTCACGAAACTAAGGTCTGTTATGCCTACAAGGAGGTTAGCATGGTTCAAAAGTTGAGGGCCCAAACGCCGAGGATGTCCAAAGCCTGCCCGCCTTTTGCCGCAAAGCCGCAGCAAGTCGAGCATCTCCGACCGCATCGGCTCCGCGTAGTCGTACAGGTACCGCGAGGTGCCTGAGCAGTCCGACCCACCCCAGGATGCGTGCAGGCTATGTTGCAAAAGCTGTCTTGGGAATTGTAGAGTTCTCAACGTGTCCACTTCAAACCCCTGGCAGCTAGGAATTCCATGCGTCAACAGCCTCGAAGCTTCCTTGAGTCATTCAGCAGCAATGCACAAGTCCTCGGGAGCGGAATTCTACTCATAGTGAAATCACTCCCCAGTTTATGGGATCTTTGGAGATTCGCAAAGTGGCAAAGGTCGGCGCCTCCTTGGCTCCCAACCGTTGCACGGTCACAGGGCTCACGGCCGGCGGATTGGGGAAGCATACTCCAAACATCGGAATGCAGAACAACCCTCACCAAAATCGAAACGATCGACTCAACCCAAACTGCGTCCCCTCCTTGTGAGAACGGTTCGGAAGCTGCTTACCTTTCGCCGCCCGCTCTGTCCAATTCCCCTTCCGTGTCCCAGGTCCCCGCGCCTCGAGCAGACACCGCCCCCACGCCATCGAAGCGCAGGGCCTCCGCAAATTGGGCGTCCAGGACCCCGTTGGCCGGGCAGGCCTTGGGCCGCCGGATGTCGCCTCGGCACGAACGAACGAACACCCGGGAAACGGCTGGGCTGGACGAAGAAAGCCCTGCGTGGCGTGAAAGTGACCCGATGGGAGTTTGGGGAAGGGGGCTTGGGTGGGTCTCCCACAAAAACAAAAAACCAAAAAAGCTCAGGGACGCGAACGCCGTAGGAGGCTTAGGCGGCCCCTCTGCTGCTGCTGCTGCTGGGATTGGCGGCAGCGGTGGTAGTGGTTGTGATTTTGCTGAGGACCAAAAGGAGGTCCCTACCAAAAAGGCTAAACCCAAATATTGAGCCCGAGCAACTCGGCAACGAGAAGCATGAGAGCAGCTAGTGCGGCCCGTTGAGGATCATCGTTGGTGAACAGGGGTCGTTTCGTTCAAGAGGCAACCTTTCACTGTTGGAAAAAAAACACTTCCCTACCAATCCAGCATGTTGGAATTTAGCCGAGGTCGACGTTTTGGTAGCTCCTTTGAATTGAAAGCAGCGCATACTCCGGCCCCTCAGCCGAGTCGCACGCAGCCTTCGAGTCCGCAGATGTGGCCAGGTGAAGTACCAGGAAGATGCCATGGCCAAGCATCACCCCGTGGCTGCCCGACGCCACGGAAAACTCACTCCCTCCCCCCCCACCCACCAAGAAATGTTCTTTGAAGGGGGTCTTAGAAGAGTCTGGAGCTTCAGAACCTCTTCCTGGGACCTCTCCTGATATGTGGAGATCAATGCCCCACACGAATCCATGCCTTTTCATGTCCTGTGAGGTTCAAAAGGTTTCCGAACGCTACACTCACGAAACGGGAATTTCGGCCACGCCTTTGCCCGTCTTGTTTCTGAATAGGGAGGGTCCCTATGTGGAGATATCTCTTGGCACGCTGAGCTATGTCAGGAAGCCGTAGGGTATCCGCTTGCAAGCACCGGCAACCAGGCGCAGCTGAGCGAGGAGTGTGTTTCAAATCAGCAGGCGACTGAGGCAACTTCCGCTGGCTAGCTTTGCAACAAGACTTCGGAACAACACAAGGCACCTCAATCCCAGAAGGCTCCTTGTGGGAAAAGTTGTGGAATCAGAGATCAGATGAACGGCCTAAGCCGTGCATTCGGCCGCAGACTCGAAGTGTCAAAAGGCCTCTTCCCACGACCAATGCCAAATGCACATGCGCCCAAGATGTTGGTGACACGAAATGCGGCAACCAAATCAAAACTCGCCCAACAAATTTGGCCATGCTACGAACAACTCCCATCCCAGGTCCGACAACCGGGCCCTAAAAAACACTCTGATCAGGGAATGGCTGCTGGTGGATCAAAATCTCAGAGAAAAATTGTGGGAGCCGAGCGGTTTGCTTATCACTTCTCTCGCATGACTGTGAAAAAGCAAAGCGAATGCAGCCGTTCAAAAACAAGTGTCCGGACTTGCAAATGAGCCAGCTGCAATGCTTGTAAGGGCCACCGTGAGCGTGCAGCGAAGTTTGCGGGAAGCCCAGCACCCAACCAGCAAATCCACACTGCAACTGACTTTGCCAATCCACACCTCTGTCTGAGGGGACGGGAGACCTATTTCACTGCACAGCCCCCTCCCCTGCCAGCATCCTGCCTCTAGGTCCTGGCAGACCCCCAACTTGGCTTTGATGGGAGCGCTGAAATGGGACGCCAAGGAAACTTTGCGACTTGGCCTTACCTTGCAAATGGACAGCTGACAACCTGTGGCGCATGATCTTGTCAGATGAATGCCAACACCACTAAGTTTTAAGCGCTAAGCCATGAGTGCAAGTTTCTTTTGTGACCATGTCATACAATTGCAAACTCATACTACCCCTACCTGGGGATGCGGACTCGGACAATGTCCTGTGAAAAGGACCAAACCAAACTGATTAGGTGCGAAAACCAACCACTTGGACACTTGGTGCGTTCAACGTACAAGAGCATTCTGTGCATGGCACCACCATATGTCGCACCCACTGTCGCTCCGACAACTGCGTCTGCCGCACCCAGCTACTGCCTTCTTTCCCTCTGCTGCACCCACTCCAGTGCCCTCGTACTCTTAAGCATGCCACCTGATTTCGCCCATCAGAAGCGGGGGATGAGGCTCCTGCAGCAAGCAGGTCAAATCTTGACGCGCCAGACGCCAGGCGCCGTCGGAGGCACCTCGGGCGGAGTTCTCTCCCAAGGCTCTTCCAACCTGTACAACACAGACGCTCGCCGGGGCTTACTTTCACAGAATTCTAGCGCCAAAGATAACATACATGTGTCAGGGACAACCGCCAGGACTGTCCTGTCCGGTCTGGGCGGGATGAACTGGACTCACTTGATGGGCCTCTCAGTGCTGCCAGTCCCAATGTTGTTTTGAAGTCGCGCTCGCTAACTCCTGCTGAGCAAAGACTGAAAGGGGACCCCCCCCAAAAAAAAAAAGAACGTGTTCCTCAAGCGCCGCAACAAGCATGTTTCAGCATGGCCGGTGCAAAACCTTCCAGAGTTCTAGCCAACAAACGAGGTGCCCGCCAGCATTGTCTTTGACGGCAAGATTCAACCCCCCCAAATAAAAGGAAAGAACAACTGCAACACTGACAACAACTCCCCTCCAAACGAAAGTGAGCAGCGCTCAGTGTGCCTTGGAAACAAAATGACAATCACTCGGCCTTTGGCGATACCCAGCGTTGAGCTTCGAGTGAAACTGCGCAGCCACATGCAAGCGCGGAGCGCCCAGTCGCACCCCCAAGGTGAAA